TATCTTCTTAGAGTCACTGCACACAGTGGGGATAGATCACTCTTCCTGACAGATTTTAGGTCAAAGAGCATTCTCTTCCTTCCATGAGTCTCCATTCCCTAGGTGGTACTTCAGGTGGTGGGGAAGGGGGAAGGTACAGGTTGCATATATAATAAATCTTTTTTAAAAAATTTCTCTGGCATGCTTAGTATTTCTAAAAACTGGAATACCTCAAGTGTCTCTGGTCCTGTATTTTCTTTTACCTCAGACTGCATATTCTTCCAATCTCATTCCCTTTCCATATCACTCCTCCATTTTTATAATTTTTTTATTGTGGAAGTACAGAGGGGTTACAATTAAATGAGCAAGGTAATAAGTACATTTCTTATCAAGCATTGTTGCCTCCTCCTTTGTTTTTCCCTTATCATCCCTGCCCGCCCATCTCCATGACTACACTCCTCACCCCCTCTCCTCTGCCAAAGTTGTAAAGTTCGTTTTTCAATATAGCATCTTGTACATCTCATTGTTGCAATGGGTCCACCTGTATCCCTATTTAAACAAGTTGTTTTTTCCCTTCCCCTCCCCAAATTATACCAACATCAAATATAGTGAAAACCAGGGTTATACTGTGGGGGTGGGACATACAAAGCAACAAAACAATCACTTTATAAATATGTTAGAAACAATAGCAAGCAAGAAAAAAAAAAACATTTATGTCCTTATCTTAGAGTTCATTTCGTCTAACATCATCTTATCTGACCTTTTCTGCTTGTCTCAGACATATACTAGTTATTACAAATAAGAGAAACCATGGGACCTATGTTTCTTTGGGCCTGGCTTGTTTCACTTAATATGATTTTTTCCCCAAGTTTTTCCATTTCCTAACAAATGAGGCAATGTCATTCTTTCTGATGGAGGCATAGAATTCCATTGTTTGTGTGTGTGTGTGTGTGTGTGTGTGTGTGTGTGTGTGTGTGTGTGTGTGTGTGTGTGTGTATCACATTTTCTTGATCACTCCTTTTTCTATACTCAGTGCTATAAAATGCCAAGTCCCCAACCTGGATCAGTACTTTAGTACTGACTATTAAGTGTTCTTGCTCTGGCTCAAGGTTTTTTGTTCTGTAATTTATTGTAATTTCACATATGTCTTCTCTGTGGAGTATTTTTTAATCATCTCAGACCTTGCCATCTAAACCCATAAACATATGGCAATTAAGAGTAACAGCAGTAGTTCTGTTGGAATATGGTAAGTTTATTATATAACATAATTGGAAATATATACTGTTCCTTGTATCTCAAAAAGGTTGAAAGCTGGCATCTTAAAAAAATGTATATGTGCTCTAATCCACTCTTAATCTGTGGGATTGTTTCTAGGAGGTCACTTAAATTACTCAACTATCACCTATCCTATGGCCAACCTAAAAATAAATAAATTTACTGATAATAATAAATTATTAAAATGTTACAATTGCAATCTAACCACAAAAACATATTCTTTAATGCCATTGTGCTATAATTCTAATTCCTATACTTAAGCATACATGCTTGTGTTAACTATGTCTATTTTATAAATGTATGTATTTACTTGTGGGGTAATGCAAATATAAATATGGAGGAACAGAGAAAGTAAGGGAAGCAAAGACAAAGACACCAAATGGTTTCTTGGAACTACAGTGTAGACCAAATTTGAATTATTCACTGTAGTATAGAAGTTAGCTCAAATTACTTTTTCTTTTCGATTAAGTTTATGTTCAGTTATTCTGTATGAAAAAAATGACAGACATTTGGAAGCTATAGGCTGTGTTGGAAAAGTTGGCAAGAGTTTAAGAGGAAAAAATAGAGCATGATATCTAAAGACTTTATTAGGACATTCTATGTATAACACATTATAAATTTAATTTCCTTATTTTCCAATAAAACTTGAAATCTCACTGCCCATAATCTTTGAAAACTAGTTTTCTTCCAAAGGAATACAATGTTGAACTGAATTAGTTCATGAAGAATAATTATAGACACAAGGGACCTTAAAAGAAAATGCTTTTAATCTTAGATACTTGGGAGTCTGAGATTTGGAGGATCCCAGTTTGAGGTTATCCTTGGCAGAAAAATAGACAATCTCCAAAATGAGACCACTGTGCTATCTTACCACTTACTAGGACCTAGTTCAACTCCATTAGTATCTTCTCTCCAAAAGAATATTTCTGGGCTGGGTACAGTGACTCATGCTTGTCATCTTATCTATTTGGAGGTTGAGATCAGGGATATCACAATTCAAGTTAAGTCCTGGTAGCAAAGTTTGTATGACACTTTCCTAAACTAATAGCTGAGTGTGGTAGTAGACATCTTTCACCCCAGATATACAGGAGCCTGGCAACTACCTACTGCCCAGCCATGGATAGAAACATGAAACTAGTGATTCATGGTCCAGGAATGGCATGCCAAACACTAGGCCCCTACTTCAAAATAACTGAAAGGGGTGGAAGTGAAGTTCACATATAGCAAACCTGCCTAGTCAGCATGAAGTCATGATCTCAAACTCCAGTATCACCAAATACAAAGAGAATTTTGATATTAAACAAAACAAAGGAGGAACAACCATAGAACAGTCATACACACACATTACAAAATTTAGTTCAGGCTACTTTGTCTTCATTTTATATTTTACATTTCCTTAAGTATTCTTTATAATATTTAAGTTTCATTCTCAGGAAACTTGACTTCATATAGCAGTTTGTTGTTAATTTTATCATTATAAGTAGTGTACTACTTTGAACAAATCTGCCATTATTTTTATAGGACCACCCTCATTCTAGATTATTCCCTGATTCACTGATATGTAATACAGATACAAAGAGAAGGTTATATTTATCAAAATTTCCAAAAGTTTGCAGTTTGTACATATTGACAAATTAACTCTTAGGTAAACTTATGCGTTTACCTCCATGATCTATTGCCAATACACAGATCTAAAAGTTATCTTACATTATAACTTAAGGTCAAATATTTCATTTTAACTTGTCCATTTCTGCAAACAGTGAATCTTGATAAGTCACCCTTCCATTATTCTCTTTTTCATACACATTTATTATAAGTGCCTATTAATAATGTGATGTAATGTCCATTTACATTTAAGTATTGTTTAGGATATTCTATTAGTATATAATGTGATTTTGCAATCTTATTTTTTTTTTTGGTCCGGTCGTGGGGCCTGAACTCTGGGCTTGGGCGCTGTCCCTAAGCTCTTCAGCTCAAGGCTAGTGCTCTACCACTTGAGCCACAGCACCACTTCGGGCTTTTTTCTTTTTGCTTATGTGGTGCTGAGGAATCAAACCCAGGGCTTCAGGCATGCAAGGCAAGCACTCTACCACTGAGCCACCTTCCCAGCCCTGCAATCCTATTTTTTAAATATATGTTTACTTTCTTCAGGCAATTGTACAAAGGAGTTGTCATTAAATTGAGCAGTTTATGAATACTGCACCTCTTGATCAGTATCACCCCATTCAACATTCTCCCACCTCTCTCCCCACCCCTTCCCTCATTCATCCATCAGAAAATGACACTGAACCATTTGTAAGGAATGGATTATGTCAAATGAAATAAGCCAGACCCAGAGAAGCACAGGTTGCATGGTTTTCCTCATTTGTGAGAACTAGAGAATGACTATAAATCTAGAATTAAGCACATGTGGAAGGACTGAAGTAGATATAAATAAATTAAATGAAGTATAATGGAATCTATGGAGAATACAAATAATCAAAGCCTAACATAATGAGTATTCAAAGGGGGGTCAAGAGGAGAAGAGTACAAAAATGAACTGGAATGGATGGTGGGTGAAGATGTTGAAGAGAGGACACAGATCAAGAAGTACTGCATACATAAATTGCTGTGTTAAATGGCAATATTTCAATGCATAACCTAAAGATTAAGAAATGTGACCTGGGTGCCAGTGGCTCATACCTGTAATCCTAGCTACTTAGGAGACTGACATCTGAGGATTGTGGTTCAAAACCAGGCCAGGCAGGAAAGTCCATGAGACCTTTTCTTCCAATTAACCACTATAAAACTGGAAATGGAGCTATGGCTCAAGTGGTAGATCACTCACCTTGAGCTGAAGAGCTCAGGGACAGCACTCAAGCCCAGAGTTCAGCCCCACAACCAACAACAGTAGCAAAGAAACATGTAATCCCATTTTTAATGAGGTCTTTTTTGTTTGTTTAGCAGTCTAATGTATTTTCTTGAGTTTTTTTCTCACTCAGTATCAATGAATATGTACATTTTCTCTAATAATTATGATTTCAAAGTTTCATTTACTCCTTTAATCCATTGGGAACTTATTTTGTATATAATCTATGTCAATAAAGTCAATTTTCTAAGCGTTAGGTCTGTTTCAGTGTATTATATTTTGTAAACTTACGTAACTATACGAAGACAGTTACTCTAATTGTAACTTAGTACACTTTAGTATGACAAGCACTATAATTTTCACTTATCTCTGGTTACTTTTATAACATGATATCATAAATGTATCACATCTCTATTATTTCTGGAATCAATATGCGCAATATGATTGGTTCCTGGCTATCTTTAAACCATTATAGTTTCAAATATATTTCCTCACTCTATCTCAGGAGCAAAACATCTCACAATTTTGAATGGCACTACAACAAATCACTATAACTAAAACTACGTGCCTAAAGAAATGAACTGTTAGAATAACTCCACCTCTGACCATACCCTGGACGATCAAGTTCTTTGTAAAGGTAGTATGTTAATATGAAGAAGGTAGAGGTGAAGAAGGAAAATGTGGTGTCAAAATTCCTTAATAATTTAGAAGGCACACTGTTATCTTGATTTATCAAAACCTATAGCAATGCACACCTACAGTTTCTAATTATATGTTATTTATTTTTCCCCTGTCACTTGATATTGGCATCTGCCACTCAGAGAAATTTATAGTCTAAGTAATGTGACAGATGTTTCAAACCATTGTCACTATCACACATCCTGTCACACATCGTTACCTGGTAAAGTCTGTCATCTCCATCATGATCATGCACATCTTCTTGGCGAGAACGATGATATCATTGCTTGTGTCATCCCAGATCTCGATCTCGGCGTCCAGCTTGCTCTTTACTTTCTTGAAATCAGCAACTTGCTCAGCAATCTTTTCCTTTTCTGCCTCAGGCAGTTGAGTCATCTTAGCCTATGGGATAATTACATTGGTAATCATTCCTCTAGGCATGAAATATTTTAGGAAGCAGTGGTGGTTATAGGATTTATATAAAACTCACTTATTTACAACCAGAGATACTTCATAGCCTAAGACAAGACACCAAAACTTTCTCAGATGATAATTTTCAAATACACAATCTATTAAATTACATTTGTTTTTCTCTAAAACTATAGGTCTACCTTCAAGATTAACTAAATAATACTACAAATTTCTAGCACATCAAAATTTTAAATGAAGTTTATTGAATCACATTGTCAAAAATGCATATAATTTTGGTTATAGCACTACTCCTATGCTTCAAAATATAGAATTATAACAAGTTAATTTGGAATGACTCTATATACCTGTCTAAATATGTATATATTGGTAGACAGTTGATCCTTACATAAACATTGAATATACGTTCAGGAAATCAGAGAAGTGTGCACTTGTAAATTATCTTTATACCAGTAAGCACACCTAAGAAAATAAAGATTGTTATACATATTGTGTACATATTATATTCAGCTGACTATAATATGTGTCATAAGAAAAGAATGCAGGTTTATTGAGCCAAGCCTCCCTAATTAACATACAGAGTACTGAGGGGCTTGCTATTCCCCCCTGCACAGTAAACTTCATCTGCTTTGACATATATTCTTGAGATATGTTTTGTTCTTAACAGCATGTGAAATGCACATTCCATTTGCAACCTGAAATGTGGGATGGGTAGAAATCCATCCTTTTCTCCCAAAGTGCCATATTCATGAACTTAGGTTCTTGAAATTGAATATTTTTTTCATAAGAGAAAAAAACGCTTAAAGTAGTAGTACTTTGCAAATCTGAACACAATAAAAATTTCACAAACCTATGCATAAAATTATATAGTTGAAAAGGTCCTGGGTTTGGTCTCCAACATCACAAACAAAACAGAATTTTAGGCACATTCTAACAGTAGGCTAAGTATAAGTATTTTGAAAAGGATAAATTAAGTGGAATTTGTTTATGGAAATATTCACATAGAATGCATACTCCCTGTAGTATCTATGTGTTTTCAGATAATGATATTTGATACCTTTACATGAGGAGAAAGACAACATCTCTAGAAGCTTTGCAGTGTTCTGGATACTGGTCTACATTGCTTCCTGGCCTTTTGGCTAAGATCACATGTGGATACTGGTCTAGAATATTAAAAGTATATCTCACAGAATTATAAGTATATGATAGCAAGCATTACATATAAGAAAAAAAGGAATTAAGACACAGCCAGTGGAAAAGATAAAACAATGAAACAAATGAAGTAATTCCAATTGTTTGCCATTGATTATCTATTTATTATAAGTTCAACCCAGTCAAAAATAACTTACTGTCTGTAAAGTTCTCCAAATTAATTAAATAATGAAGCTTTCTGGTTTGGAGTTTTCTATACATTCCTTAGCATATTACTGGATACATACTAAATGCTTAATAAATGATAGATATCTCGTCAGTAGGAAAATTATAAAAATATATTCACGTGTCTAGCACTTAAGCTTTTTCCTTTTATTATTTCATTTCCTTTGAAGAATAAAATTAAATAAGCTGTGTGAGACTACATTTTTAATTAATGAGCTATATAAGTTCTCTTTCTTAACATTTCAAAATAGTTGGTGATAATTTTTTTTCTTCTCAGGAAATGTACCCTATGCAATATGTTAGAAGAAAAGCAAATTTTACTACTGCTGGCATATGGCAAAGCACATAAGTGAAGACACAGCTCACTACTTCTGAAATCAAAAAGCAACATGCAAGCATGTTAAGTAAATTATAAGCTACCAACTCAGTAAACTATCTTGAAAATAGAAAATGGAAATAGAAATACCTACTGGTCATTATCATTCTCTAGTCTCATAAAAAGTGCTTAAACTTCAAATAATAAAAATAAGGGGTAGGTTCACCTGGAGACTTTTTCATACTCTGAATCTGAGAAGTAAATAAATCTGTGTACAATGTATACACAGTATAATGCACAATGTTGAAGTCTACATTGGATAGATTACAAAAGGCATTCAACGACCTCACAATAAAATTATTCAATAGGGGATCTAGTTAAGCGCATTCATTCCAACTTCTAGTCCTTAGCTTAAGTCTGATTTCCTATAAGACCTTAGGAAAGTCACAGCTACAAAATAAACAATGTATCTGCTGCCCACATGCTATGCAGGAAGACAGTTAATTGCTGGATAATATGAGTTGGTCCTGTCATGGGCAAAGTCATCTGTTACACTCAGCTTCCTGAATGATATCTCAAATCACATGGCATGTTACAGTCTACAGAAATTTACTTCTGACAAGATAGGGTCGAATGTAGGGCAATAGTTTGCAAAATTAAAAGTTCTAGAGGGTTCTATTTCTTTTTTATACAGAGGAACATTTATGAAATACTCAGTGACAAATTTACTGAAAGGTTTATGTGCTTCTATGAATAATCCATTAAATGCCATCAATCTTTAATCATTATGAAAATTTCAAAAATTTAAAGATGTATTTAGAGATTCTGGGGAAAAAATTCTTACTGAAATAAGAAAGTAAAGTATAAAGTGTAAAGAAATTTTGGGTTAAATAATCTCTCTGACATATATGATTAATGTGCTTTATACATATTTTTAATAAAGAATATCAATTCCACAGATATTACCACTGTATTTTTTAAATAAATACTTCAGATAGGAAAATCACCAATGTAAGATTGAAACTATATTCTCAAACAGAAAACTCGTGTCTGGCAGTGAACTTAAAAAAACAAAAACAAAAACAAAAGAGATTACTAGGCTCCTATATCTTCTTCTAACAACAATTACTATGACTGCATTTTAGCATTCTCTCTCCCTCTCTCTTTTTTTTTTTTCTTTGGTCATCGGGCTTGAACTCTGGGTCTGGGCACTGTCCCTCAGCTCTTCAGCTCAAGGCTAGCGCTCTACCACTTGAGCCACAGCACCACTTCTGGTTTTCTGGTGGTTTATTGGCGGTAAGAGTCCCATGGGCTTTCCTACCTGGGCTGGTTGAACTGTGATCCTCAGATCTCAGCCTCCTAAGTAACTAGGATTACAAGCGTGAGCCACTGGTGCCCAGTTAGGATTCTTGAACCTTATTAAAAATCCTAACAGATGTACTGTAGTGTTTGTGCGTATGTGTGTGTGTATTTGTGTGTGTGCACATGTGTGTGTTCAGCATTTATATTGTTGCATTTAGTTTTATTCTGCTTGTTCTTGTTGCTCTATATTGACATTATTCTATTGCATATTTTTTGCCATTATTCCATTTGGGTTTATTATGAATAGTGGATATCCTTGGTATTTTACAGATACACATCTATATCTGTGTACATCCCTAGACTGTACATACCTATGAATAGAATTAGTGTGCCACAAGGGTAACCTTAACCATAACCTTTTGTCCTTACCAGTTTTTAAGTCTCATTTCATTTTACTTTTCATTCTCAGTGCCTTCCAACTAAAGCTAAGCCATTGCTACTTCAGGTAAACATCTTGATATGCAATCCATTAGCTATTTCGTTCATCTTCTTTGCTTCCTCATCATCTCTGGGAGTCCAAGATTTACCATACTTGTAGGCCACATCCAAATAGCATACATAACTTAGGCCACATCCAAATAGTATACATAACTGCCTTCATTCCCCAGCTATATGCAATTTGTTTTATAAAATTTTCAGAACATTTTATAAGAACTTTCCTCCACACATTCACTTAGTTCTCTTGCGCAGCCTAATCATTTGTGAACACAAAAGCATAACTAACTAGAGGAAAGATCTTTGAAATGATGATCATCTTTTCGGAATAAAAGTGATGAATTTACATATATATGTGTGTCCACACCCAAATGCTATTTATTTGTTCTGTTTTGCATTAGTGTCATTACACTAGAAGATGAATAGATGATACATGACAAAAGTTTACTATAGTTGTTACTATAACTATTTATTCCAGATATAATAAAAGGGGCTGAGATCTAGCTCAGTGGCAAAACACTCACCTAGCAAGGGCAATGTCCTGAGTTCAATCCCCAACATGAAAAAGGAAATACACATAAGATATAAAGAAGTAGAAGGATCCAAAATTTATAGAATTGACTTGAATTTTGTCACTTAGATTGCACAAATGTCAAGCTTTTTACCTCCATGAGGATCTCAAATTCATTTCCCTTCTACATTTTCCCTGTTCATTGTCAATCCTGCATCTTTATTATTCCCCCAGGACTTTAATCAGAGCATGGTTGATCTTTCCTCATCTGCTTTTAAATTTCACTATGCTCACTACTACTGGGTAAAAAGTTGATGTGCTAAATGATTTTCATTTCCTTTGAATAAAAAGAAAAAGAAAAATGTTACATAATAGGCAAATTCAGAAAATTTCATGTAGATATTGGGCCAAATTCATGAAGATATCCATCAAACTTCCAATCCTAGAAGGAATGAGTTATGTAGCCAGTAACTTGAACATCTTAAACTCCATTTTTATTATATATGAAATTCTCATAAATTTTCATAGATGAATTAGAGTTAGGTTTAACAATAGTACCTGCAATATACTAAGTCACTTAGAAAATTGTACATGTTAGATGTATCTATGTTAGATGTATCTATGCACCTTAAACTACTCTCTAAACTTGGAAGGCTAAAATGGGGGAAAGGAGAGCAAAATTTTCACTAACTTATCTCAAAAAGCACAGAACTAGAAAAGAACTGAAGAACTAGATAATTTCAGTAAGTTCATTTCATAAGCAATAAATTCTAAATGAACATGTTATCATAATCACCTCATTCTCAGAAACCTCCAAATCCAAACCACTAATGGTGTGCACAATAAATCAAAATTCCAGAGAAGTAAATGGCAATGAAACATCACCCAACTGGTTAACATAAGATTTCATCCTTAAATCCATTTGTCTTTTTTTTTTGTGGCATGGGGCTTGAACTCAGAGCCTAGGCACAG